ATGCGGGGAATAGCAAATAAATTTTCTCAGCTATGAGAGGAGTTAAAACAACAATGTTGCACGCGTGAATCTGGGCACGTGACTTAGCAATACAGGTTGCGTTGCAGGGATCATGGGCTGCAGGGAACCGTTTGGTAAAACGTTGCCCACAGAACATGGTAAGTTAGTCGGAATCGAGTGAATGTATAATGACCGCACTGAGCGAGTATGGTGCATAGAAAACCCTTGACGACGAATAATCGATTGGCTGTGTGACCGTTTCTCCATATTATGACTGAAAGCCTGAGTAGGCAACCCAAATATGATCTGGATCACATCGAGACTCGATGAAAATGAAGGACATCATAGCAGCCAGAAGATATGGACTGGCGATCTACTGCTTTTACAGCTGTGTTCAAAATACCTTACTGTATATATGTGAGAAAACCCTGTTACTCTTTGTTGTAGTACATGTGTAGAGCTATGACACAGTTTACTGTTGTTTTAGAAACAATTTTTAACAGGGTTTCATAGATACTTACATACTATTAATGAGCGCAGCAGCCCGAGGTAAGCTCCTGATAACTAGGCTCATCTACCCGGGTACAAAATAGTAACATTACATTAGCGCATCTATGGTCCAGACATTCCGTTTAATTGCACCACCGACGTAGTATCTACTGTTGTCAGCTTTGACTTTAGAATATCTAGACCGCGCCTATAGCCTACTGTTGTGCTGCACTTGGAATGTGTATTAAAGGACTTATGATGAGAATCGCCGGCAGAAGGAAGATTTGGCCATGGGATCTTCCTTCGGTTGGCTGCTGGTGGATACCTTCATCGCAGTTTTACAGGAGATCAAATAGTAAACGGACATAAAACACTCTGACTGATACTATCACAACATGGACAATAAATTTTAGCCGATAAGGTGAGTTGGTAAACACATTAACCAGTCTGAACTTCTTGGCTATTTAACCGAGTCCTTGCAGCACGGTATTTTAGTTATGAAGAAGACTGAAATAGATTACCATATCTTGATACATTTTAACTAAGCGATCAATTAACTTCTTTCAGTGGATGGTCTACAGATAGTCTTCTTGGAATTGTTTGTGAGCACATCCGCCGTTTCGTTCCTGTGAGATGTAAGAGCAAGGTTATTCATTATCTCAAGTGCAGGTCAAATCAGTTCGGTGGATAAGTTGAAAGGGAAATTGAAATTCACAAAGAATACTCTGAAAACAAGTTGTTATACCAACAGATTTATTGCCAATAACTCTTGAAAAAACCCAGACAAGTACAGGTGTTAAAAGCTGCAAAGAAGGGTCCTTTCATATAGATACTTTTCAAAAGTGAATTGCGTACCGAGCCTTCGGCAAGAATTCTTTCGGCCACTGTTAAGTTGATCTTTGCAGCAGCCACGCTAACGTGCGCAATTTCAACGGAACCACGTGTATATTTTTTACGATATATGACCTTCCTAAGCTTGATTGTCTCCATATATATGTAACAATTTGTGTCGGCTTAAGAGCGTTGCATATCGGTGGAACGGCGCGGCATTTTTTCAAATGCGTGCGTGGACAATGCCCATGTGTTTTGCATCAACTTAACGCTGGTGTCTTAAGCAGCAATAGTTCAGTCGACACTATACATCAGGTGGATATACGTAGCCTTTAGGATGAGTTTCGAAGCTCCCTTGAACCGATTGAAAAGTCATCGCCTTCATACACTAGCAGCAGCTGAAACGACTTGTAATCAATTGATGTATTCCTTATTATATCCGCAGTAAAAGGTAGCACAGTCTTCTTAACATCCCTGACCAGACAAAACAGTAGACAATGAGATCAACTGCATTAGGCTAAATTCCGTATCATGCCTTTAACTTATTCAGTTCTAGTTCGCGTTCCCTTCTATGTAACCTTAAGCAAACGGGTAGATTTTACTTGCTTTGCTCCTATAAATGGTTGCAATAGTCTGAAATGTATTCAAGAAAAGCAGTTTATCACAAATAGTCTTGTGTTCTTGAAAATTAAATGAAAATATTTAGATGAGTTAAACAGAGATATCCATACTAAGTGCAGGACATTTTGAGTTATTTTTTCAAGCATCCATTCTACAGCACGGCTGATCTCTCGTAACTTTACTACAACGTAACTTTCTGGCATAGGTTTGTCCATCATGATACGGAAATCAGCGAATTGTGTAGCAGTTGAGGAGCGCGTTCTCCACATCATAATGCGTGTTTCTTGACTGTCCGACTCGGTTGTACTCAGTAACTAATCTTGAAATTAGTTTCTTTTCTCCCCTTCTTTCTACTGTTGGGCACAATTAGATCAAACGTATTCGTTTTTCAAACGTTAATTGGTAAAATTTATTTCAGCAACAAGTATAATCTTGGAACCACTAAAAAGAACATACTCCTAGACGCACTTGAAACTGTGTCAGCTGTTTGAATGCACTATAATGGAATCGCCCGCCAAAAGTTTGTTGATTTTTATGCACACATAGCTTGAAGAGACATTTAATGAACGGGACCACTGTCAAGGGTTTTATGGCGAATTATGTTGAACTGCGGTCGCACATACAATGGAACCATGGAACAATGGTTCATTACGGGTAAAAAAGCATTGCTTAACAAGTCCCGTAGGATGGAATTTATTGCGAAAATCAATTGCATGATAAAGTGAAAAGCGTTGTGGTGGACTCACCATAGACTTATGTAGAATAGCGGAGATGTTCGCGTATTAAACGTATAAATCCATTGGTTAGGCGTTTGGCAAGACACGGTTTGATTGCGTTTTGTAGCCACTGGCTAACAAGTCATAAAATGAAATGTAAGTGAGACAATGCATCGTCAACACGTTTTTTAAATATCGCCAGATTGGGAGCAAAGACGAAATAACTAGGGAGGGCGTTCCAAGGCTGGCACACGCGGAGGGAAAAGAAATTTCTACGGCATTCAAGCCGGCTGTACTGAATTGTCAGTTTCAGAGGGTGACCTTTTATTTTGGTGTTGTGGTGCAATTCCAGTAGCGGACGGCAAATGTGGTTTGGGTTCTTCAGAATTTGGTAAACCATTTTGAGATCCCCCCGCAAAAGCCGAGATCGACTGCAGTACATTCTTATAGATTTCAGTCTAAGCTGGTAAGGCAGATGAAAGAGGCGCCTGACGTTCTTGGTTGCCCTTCGTTGAGGAGTCTCGAGAGCAACGAGATCCTGTTTCTGCTACGGCTGCCACACCTGAATAGCATATTCCACGTGAGGTCGCACGTAGGCGTTAAGCATTTGGGGAAAGACTGAGGGTTCAAACCGACCGAAGGCTCTGCAAAGAAGGCCGAAGTGTTGATTGCCGATTCTCGTCGCCATCTCTGCTTATTTTGAACACCCTAGATCTTCCTGTACCAATCCACCCAGGTCATGCTCCTGAGAGACCTTCTCGAAGGTGTGGTCTCCAAGCTTGTAAGCGCTCACCAGCTGGTGAAGCAGATGTATTACTTGCACTTAGCCATGTTCAATTGAAGCATGTTCCTCTTTGACCAATAGTAAATGCAATCTAGATCATGTTGGAGCAGATCGTGATCTGGCTTGTTACTAATCGCCTGCCATATATTGACGTCATCGGCGAAAAGCAGGAAATTTGAGGAGATAACTGATGCCAGGTCGTTGATAAACACCAGGAATAAGCACGATCCCAGCAGTGAGCCTTGTGGAACACAACATTCCACCTCAATTGGGTTAGAGAGTGATACCCTAACAAGTACTTGAAGCTTCCGTTGGTGAAGGAAGCTGCCAATACAACCAAATACAGGATCTGCGATTCCTTATCTCTGTAGCCGTTGAAGTAGGATGCGGTGATCAAGGCGGTCGAAAGCTTTGGAGAAGTCCAGATAGACGACGGCGACTCCGACCCCATCATCGACCACTTCCTTCCAATTAACTCGTGCAATCAGTAGGTTGGTGGTGCATGGCCGGTGTTGATTGAAGCCATGCTGTTCCGGTACCATTTCTCCAGGTAGTCCATTAAAGCCTCAGCGACGACTGCTTCCATCACCTTCGCGCACACAGGGAGGAGAGTCACTGGACGATAGTTTGCAGGATCTGAACGGCTACCGCCTTTAAAAATAGGGGTGATAATGCCACACTTCCACATAGTGGGGACTTGTTGCTCATCAAAGCACCTTTGGAAGTACTGTGACAGTGGTTCAGCTAGCTTGTTGGCCACAGCCTTCAGTGCCTTCTAGCGAATGTTATCTGCTCCCGGAGAACTATGCTCACGCGGTGAGCATATGTTTACGTATGTTTACATCGGATAATTTCAGCTAATTGAGTTCGCAGTTCTGTCGATTGGAAAATTAATACGACAGAACCAAGAAGCCAGCCGTATCGCTTAAAATTATGGACGGTACTTCTTCAGTACTAGAGTTTAATGACCACTTAGCGGTTATTTTGAAACATACCTAATGAGAAAGCGCTAAAATTTAGGCGTCAGCTTATCTCAATCAAAAGATGGTACCCAAATTCAGAGAAACATTTGGGTTTCTTTATATTTCAACTGCTCAAGGTGTTACAGATTATTCGCAAAGTAAAACGAATTGCTCCATGGGTATTCATCAACAAATCCAAATAGACAGGCAATGCTACGCGGTTTTATGCTTAAATTACAGTTTCGGCTTTCTTGAATATGTGCATTCCTTAGACTACGGTCATCGTAGTTTGGAAATAAACGCGTTATTTTATCTTTTTTCTCTCCTTTAGCACGCACTTCCTGTCGTGTCTTTACTTTTGTATTGTTTGTTGCAGTTAGTAACACGGTAGGGAACAACGCTGAAACCAAAGGTAACAACAAAAGTTGAGCGTGACTTAATACGTCAAATGTAGAAGGGCCATTACGGGAATGCGATTACCATATTCCATTAAATGGTGACGAGACTAATTCGTGGTGAATTACTCTGCCAGCCGGTTTGAGCTACTTCTTACATTGTTATGTTATCCATTTCTTTTTAATACTCCAAAATTTTCAGAATTTCCGCGGTTCAAGATACGGCCACCTGTTCAACTGACAATCAACGGAAACACTACGGCTCACTTGAAGTGTACAGCTGAGGGTGACCCACCACCACACATGGACTGGTTTTTGGTAGGTTTGTTCAAAGTTCGTTAGTGCTAAATTAAACAAAACTAAATAGTTAATTTTGGTATAAACAGTAGCATAACCGTGTAAGGTATTTTAACGTGACGGTTCCGTCCCAATCATACCACTGATCCTTACATTTTTTGGAAGCGCCGGCTGTGCAGACTGGAAGCACTTGATATGATCTCACTGCTTTTTCGTTAGCAAAATCGGATAGGCCAAATAATTCCAAAACGAGATAGATAATTGTGGAAAAGACGTTACAAAAATAATTCATAATGTTGTATAAGAATTTACACGGGTTTACTTTAGCTGAATGATAACAGTGGTCCTTGATTGCATATTGGACATTATATAAAATCAGCTGTGGACAAAACAACGTGAGTATAAACCTTTCATTCCAAGTGCAGCAAAATGCAGACGTGTTAGAGTGTTTTATAATATACGGATCAGTAATAGCAAAAGCAGGTTCTTTAGTCGTGTGTTACTTTCAACCAATATGAAATTACGAAAAGCTGAATAGTTGAAAGGTAGCTACTGTATACATTTATCCTTTTAGATTGGCGTGTTGGCATTCGTTAGTTTGGACTAGGTTTAGCAAAAAACCAAAGAAATGTTCTTCTGCGCATGTGAGTGTATTTTCGACCAAAAGCGCCATTTTCACTAATTTGATTTTATAGTTATGACATCCGGACTTTCAACATGCGGATGGTGTCCGCCGACGTTGATTTTGCTATGTTTCTCCAGCTCGATAAGTTTACCGTCAGATGTTCCATATTGTGCATCTCTCCTAATTGTATCATGCGAGATTATTACCCGTACACACAACGCTTCATGTTAATGGTTTCTACTATCATTCACCTGTAGCATGCTTGGCTTTAGAATCTAATGGTGTGTTGTCGAATACTAACAGCTTGCGTCTATTTCACCGGTTCCATTTTCTATATATCCACGACACGGTCTTCTGGTCATGCAGGTTTGTCCGGTCCATATGTGTACGAAATGAAATGAGCCATTACATGTAAGTAGGGAATTTTAACTTTCTTCAATCGCATAATCATCCTACAAGCTACATATTGTTAACTAAGCTAATTCTTGTCAATTTGTCGTATACGCATATGATGGGCTTGCATGACGCGCAAACCGAGTTACGCCTAGGCGGCAGCATAGAATTGTTCAGCAATTTTACAAGTATAGTGGACAACTTTATTTTTCTACTGAGGTTGTCAATAAAATTGTCCACGGAAGGTGTATCACTTTACGTCCGCCATCTATCTCGAGGGGAAAGAGAGAATGAGCTTTGATTTTACTTCTTGAAATTCAGTCCAAATGAAATAGCACAGCAATGCATTATATGCATTGTGAGATTTTGTCAGCTTGGCTAAACCATATCTGAAGACATCATATGAAGCCAGCGATTTGTTAGGGAAGAGATGTGAGCTGACCTAGCTCATCTTAGTCCTTCGTTTATACATATATATAAATATAATACGCAGTCTATAAGATAGACATAGAGCCAGCGAAAACCATGAAACAGAAGTAATAAATACAAAAACAACAACAAAAAGAATGAGTTGCAAAAAAGCTTTTTATACCTTGTGTTTACTGTTAGCTATTTCTTTTTCACACGCCGTTGTATCCTTTTTTGTCTGTTCAATTTTTTCGATGTAAATCTAGCAAATCAAGACAAACATTTGTGCACATTTTCCATTGAGCCTGGTTCTATTCCTTCTCCGTAAGAGATTCCAGCCAGCGGCTTTTTTTCATCTTTGAACCCCAGCCCGAAAGAAGCACGGGACCTGCGACAGCCAAAATTAAGTCAGCGCTTTAATCGTTTGTCGCCACGTGACAAGCTGACACCCACGCGATTTCTTCTAGCCTGGTCCTATGCAAGCGAAGAGAGCGCGTCGGGGCAGCCGTTCGCATGGCATGTGCAAAACGTGGCCCAGCAACCTCAGTTGGCGCAATGGTACCAGTCTTTCAAGTGAAAGTCCTGTGTTACTTAAGTCGCTACGTCTAACATCATCTTTGCGCACGTGTTTCATCCACTACACTCGAGCTATTCTCTGCAGACATCTATTTTCAAAGGCCGAAATCCAATCCAAGTCATTCACATGAATCGGCCTAGACTCACTCCCATACAGCAGCACCGCGCGAACACTGGCATTGTAGACCCTGCCCTTTACCAATAGTGAAACGTCGCGGCGTCGCCACAGATGCCTCAAGTAGGCGAATGCCGAACGCGCTTTGGTAGTGCGGAGGAAAATCTTTTTCCAATGGTACCATTAGCAGAAACACAGCTTCCCAGGTAAACAAAGTTGTCCACTTGTTCAAGCTGCGTATCTTGAGAGAGTGATCACTAGAGCAGGTGGATGTCAATCCAGGAATAGGAATTCGCATTTCCTAGAGGCATAGATCATTCCATATTTTGTTGATTCCATCGCCAAACGGTTTAGAACGGCTTGTGTGCTCTGTGCGTCATCACCAAGCAAAGCAATATCATCAGCATAATCTAAAGCGGTCACGCGGTTACCAGGAAGATGCTCTACCCCAAAACCCAGAAAGCCCTCGAGAGCATTAAAAAGGATAGCTTGGATCGCAAAATTGAAGAGAAACGGGAGCATGGGGCAACCCTGTCGTATACCGCCGGTGACGGCAAAAGGTGAAGATAGCTTATCATAAGCCCCCTTTTTACATGAGACACTGTAATGTAATGCTGGAAGGATGGCGATATACTTTTCGGGTACTCCATCCTTTTGTAAACAACGCCATAAAACTGGCCGATCGACGGAGACGAAAGCGGCTTGGATGTCAAGGAAATCCACGATAATGGATTGACGGTAAAGATGACGCGTTTCAAGGAGTTGGCGAAGCGTAAACAAGTGGTCTATAAACCCTCGACCGAGGCGGAAAACAGCCAGTTCTTCATGGGAGTGTAATTCTGGAATCGGGTCTAGTCTGCGGAGTAGAATGGATGTCAACGGCTTTATGGCAATGGACATTAGGCTGATTCCTTGGTGGTTAGCGCATAGGATACGAGCACCTTCTTGAAGCTCGGGACAATAATTGACTGGCTCCAAGTGGATAGAACTGTTTCTTCACACCGAGTCCTAGAGAAAAAGTTGTTAAGTGGTTGACAAGTGCTTCGCTCCCGAACTTATACAGCTCTGGAGAAAGTCCGTCTGAACCATCAGACTTGAATCGCTTCAAATGTCGTAGCTCAAGGCAGACCTCAGCTTCAGTGGGTGGTTCCAATGAGACGTTCCAAGCCGCGCAAGTATGCATACTCAATAGAAGCGCCGGCGGATGATGGCCGCTGAATTGAGTGCGGAAGCGTTCAGCTAAGCGGTCCATACGCCTGTGTAAGTTGCTTATCGGCGTTCCGTTAACCTCGCAAATGACCTCACTGACACCAGGTCTTTTGTGATCATTGGCCGAATGACCTGTAAGAGCTTGCGGAAGTTTCCAGAGAGGGTTGCCGTTTCAATCTCTGAGGTGTGCTGGGACCACCAAGCTTCGCGAACCGCACTCAGACTTTGCTTAAGTAGTTGACTGGGAATGCGACGCAATACAATGCTATTTGAATGGGCCGGTATAGATCTACGACTATTAAACAATTAGTGAGTGTGCGGAAATCCAGCCCCTCAGATGGCGCCATGTGATTCCGCAGATCGAATGACTGAAAGTTAGCATCGCTTCACGCAGGAAACTCCAAATATTTTCAATGTCTTCTGGTGGAGCCCCAATGAATGCATGTGATGAGGAAGCTTGATAAGTTGATCGAGTAGAGAAGTCGGCTAACTTGTTGGTGTCAAACATTTGGAGCTTTTGCTTTGGGAAGCCGCCGAAGCTCATGCAAATGTCCGCGCAGACCAAAGCATGATCTGAATCGAGGTAGGTAGACCATATCAACCTACAATCCCGGAAGTTGCGTCGCCATCTAAAGCTGATTGCAATGTGATCTATTTGTGACCACGCAAGTGTTGGTGAAGGTGGCTGCGCGTCTTCTGGTATGCCTAAAGTTCTTACTTGCGAGAAACCGACGATGGTCTACGCATAACGTAAGAAGTCTATCACTGTTGTCAGAACTGCTTTCATCATGCGCGTGACTACCACACGTTCGCGCGGAAGCAGGCAACCTACTCGTGCATTGAGATCTCCAGCAAGGACGATGACATCTGACTTTTCGGCCTTGTTCAAAAGCTTGTGGAGACCACGAGAAAAGTCAACCTTAACCGATGCACAGCTGCAGTCGATTGGAGCGTAGGCAGAAATGGCAAACAAAGTGCGCCTCTCTTCACGATGTCTGTTGATTCTACATAAGCCTTGAAGTTGAACCGCACAACGTCGGCCGTCGATTAGAAACCAGTCGAGTAATGCAACCTCCGCTTTATCACTCAATACGATACCGACACCAGCTAAGTCGGCTGACGCTGCCTCCATGTCACTAGATGTACGTAGGTAATATGTGGTCTCAAGAGCAGCTGGGGCGACAATTTAACCACAGTGCTGAGATCCTGTAGTCGAGTCTCTGAAAGGTAAATAACGTCGATGGCCAGGGACTCTAGAGTGCGCGCCAGGCCAGCCTGTTGTCCCATCTGTAGGAGGGTCCGAACATGAAACACTGCCAGACGGAATGAATTACGGGTCGAAGGGTGGTGGATGGCCGGATGATTTGGAAATCAGCGAGACGGGCATTGGAAGTAGATTCAACAGGTTGTAGATTATCAACAAGAGAAAAGTTGGCATGTGATGGAGAAGCACGAGCAGCAGCAAAAGTAGTAGCAGAAGTAAGCGACTTAGCGATAATTGCGAAATCCATGGTTCTCACAGAGGGTACGGTGCTACCCGATTACGCAAGCCGAAGTAGAGAGTTGTCTTAGGAGACTCCACCCCGAGCTTTTGGCTCAACTTTCAATCCGAAAGACAGAGGAGCGAAGTCAGGGATTCACACCCATTGGTAGCTTGTGACTGATTGTTCAGTTCATACGTCTTTCGTTTGGTGA